AAAATGGTTAATCACACACATTTAATATATGACAGAATCAGTTACATTATACCATAACGTTTTTGAGTGTTGACTATAATACAAAGATATCCAAGATATCCCTTTACCTGGTGATCTAGTGCTGAGAGCTGACAAAGTAAAACAATCTAGACACAATTGTAATTAACAATTTTTATTATTTTTAATAAAGTATCTTTACCCCTAGCTCTGGGTAAAAAAAACCTAGGAGATTAAAACATTTAAGGGCATTAGAAATCTGCAACACCGAGACTGTATCTTTTATACTAAATTTTATTAATAGGTAGTAGAAATTCAAAAAGTTTACTATAATATTATCATTATCAATTATTCCCTCACTAATAAAAACCTTCAAGAAATATTCCCATCAGTAATTTCGTTATGATAATGCGGTAAGTGTTGGGGGGGTAGGTTGAGCTCGGATAAACAATCTCAATTAAATTTATCTTTCAAATTCAATTGAATTCTTGCTCTTATCGTTAATTCATGATGGAATTTAGCTTTTTAATCTATTATAGTTTAAATATTTATAATTTTATTTATTAGAACACCTTACCAGTTACCATACGACTAAATCTGAGTTTTTACCAAAAGGTTCTTAATAGTTTTAGCAGTTTTGCTGTTTTAGATCTACAATATCCATTTCCAATTATTATAACCCATTTAGTTCATTTAAGAGATAACCTAACCAAACAGTTTTTTCGTGATACATACAAAAAAAAGCGAGTGTCAGTCATTATTATAAACTTCACGAGAGAGCTGGGTACTTATATACAATATACTAGTTGTATATTATATTCCATATATACATAGATAAGTAACGACAAGAAAGAAAAGTCGTGCAGACTCGTCCAACACGCGATTCGACATGAAAAAATGTACTTATGAGACGTTTATTGAAGAGACACGAAGATCTCACACGCACATAACATCTTGTCAACAGACGTATTATTATTATTCTTCAACAGCACACATTTCGTTGTAGCTCGTTATTTCTGCAGAGAAGTAATTTGATATATTTGACTGAAAATAAAAAAATTGACTCGCAGGTGCTGCTGTAGGTACAGATACATATATATAATATAATTATCATTAATATAATAGACTATTAGATATAATATGTGCCGAAGCTTTATGGTTTTAATTTTATCCGTTTATACGTTGGCACTGCAGAATAATAATGGTAGAATTGCGAAACAAAACTAATTTCTATTTAAATGTGAATATAACGATTGGGTAGAACATTTAACTACGTGTGAAAAAACTTTCATTTCCAATAGGTATATAATATTTACTGTATTACACTTCATGTTAGAGTATCTCGTATGTACCAAAATTTGAAGTTTATTTTGACAAAATTCATCAAAATCTAAAATTAATTCTTTTCTTGTATTATTATTAATTAGACTTATATTATAGTCTCAATAATATATTGATTATCATAAGCTAATTATATCATAGTTTGATATTTTGCAGTACCTTTATGGCTAACAATCAAGTATTATTTAGTATTCAAGTTATATTATATAACTATAAATTCAATAATAATTTGGATTGAGATTTCGAAGGAGTAATTTGTGGAACAAATCATTTTTTGCACTGTAAACTACATTTATAAATAATATTATATATTAAAGAAATACGCGATTGTTATACAGCCGCTCGTTAAAGACATTGTGACGCACAATCGTTGAACATAGAAATTATTACTAATAATATATAGGAAGAATATTTATCAACAAAATGTAAACATTTTTATTTTTTGAGAAACCCATGTCTAGACAAAATTAATGAAATACCGAGTTCGGCGATAAGCGCGTCTCGTTTATGCAATCAAAATAAATGAGAACAAAAATATTATTTACATCGAGACGTTTTAGAAATGTATGAGGCTTTATCAAAATTAATAACATTTTAGTTATTCGAATTAAATGCTCTGTTTGTATAGTGAAATTATTAAGCACTCTATAAAATTATATCATTGATTATAAATACTATAGATTGCTCACTGGCCGGTTTTTCGGTGGCGTACAATAAAATCCTCGGTAGATGGCGATAAGAACCAATAATACTAATAAATTTGTATTTTATAACAGCCGCCGCAACTATGGTGGAGCGCGGTGCGGGTATAACTGGTTTTTATCGTCGCCCGTCATAACGTCCGACGTACCTATTTTATATTAATTACTACTTTTATTTAGAATGATTTGGTTGAGTGT